AACATATCATCGTTGTATCACTATATTACAACGGATAATCTTAATCAAATATACCATAATTAATGGTACCTCTCAAATATCTCAATGACCGCCTCAACGCAGTTTAATTATCCCCACTTGGGATATTGGTATGTTGGTTCAATCTTCCGACAGTATAAGCTATGTCGGGCCTCATATAATTAAAATAGACATCCAATAATTTGGGAATACTCATATTGAGCCTCGGGATCACCTCTATGTTTTTTTTAAAGTGTATATGAGAGTCATAAGGGGTACTCACAGGGGTGACATTGAAATGTCCAAACCTCTTTAATTAAAAGCTTATCATCATAATGCTCTTGATGAGATATTATAATACATAATTCTTCCTTATGACTTTCATACCCAAAATCACTTTTGCTACCGCCAAATTCACGCACCATTTCACATTCATTGCATACACACCTTGTGTTACTAACCACATGACCTTCCGGTTGCACCATATAAATTTCTTCTTCTAGCTCACCATTTAAAAGCACAATTTTAACATCCACTTGATGAAAAAAGTTTGTGAATAGAGTCAATTTCAGTCTATATGCCCCCCCCCAAAAAAAAAATGTTTTTCTTTTTAAATAGTTTCTAAATAAGTCAAAAATTCATCATTAATAAGATGTATAAAAATCATTTCTAAAAGATATCTCTATCTTTGGCTTCTTACTTCTTTCAAAAGAGAAGATTCATCATTAAAAGAATCATTTTCTTTTAATGGATCACTATTCACTATCACTAGAGGGTGGTTCATCATTAAAGGTTCATTTCCTTGTACTGGATCACACTGGCCAAAAGTTATAAAGCTCATTTTCACTCAATGGGAGAGACAATAAAAATATAGCTAAGCACCCCCACAATTTTAAATATTTGAAAAATAGGTGCATAACCCTTCTATAATTCATAGAGAGATAATTTATATCTATACCTTTATTTGTACACAACGATTTTATCAAATAAGACTCGCCTTTTAAATTTAAATAAGATAAAATTTAGTTTATCTTGAAAAATGACATATCACTTTTACCACCTTTAATCATCGTGTAGATGATCTAATAAAATTTATATAAATTTATCAAATATATCACAATTTTCTAGAGGTGTTCCCGTATCACTAAATATCAATCTTATGATATTCAGGAGTTTCATAAATCAAATAAAAATAAAGACCAACAAAAAATATTGTCATGTAAAACGTCGAATCTATTATATCACATAACACAATACTTAACCGACCAAAAGTATGCAGAAACATCATCATGCAACATTTCAAAAATGCTCAGCACAAAAAGTCCATTCTTACAATAGTCATTTTTCACAAGAACGTCATTTTTGGTCATAACAAAATTGTCACTACCAAAAGAAACTTGTAACTCCAACTTTTCCAAAAGAGAAACGAAAACTAAATAAGTCCGATCTCGAGCACATGAATCACATCATTTAGTGATAAAGTTTTTCCCGAAGTGAGCTTAAGAAGAACTTTCCATTTTCCACGCAAACCAAGTTTTACAACTCTGAGAAACAACCGCAATAAAATTATCATCACTGCAAACCAAGTTTAAACTTGATTTTGGTGATTTTTTGTTTTTCATAGTTGACATTTTATCACTAAATAAACGAATAACATTTTTCTTAAAAAAAAGGAGTATAAGTATGACTTATTGTAAGTAGGAAAGTGGAGAGACTAACCATTATACGTAGATGAATTTTGTGAGCGTTTATCCGATAGAAAATGGCTCCCCATGCGGATGTATCACAGCCTTGTGAGATCATGTGTGCACGCATATCCGACGCCAAATACTTTCTTGAGATTGTTGGTGGAGATTCGGCCGGATATACCTGCAAAAATGATGTTAGAAAATAATCTAGCTCGAGACGCGTCAGACGCTGTCCTCAAGAAAGTATTTCCGACTAGCGAAAACCTTTCCCCAAGATATAACGTGTTCTTCGGCGTAAGCCGGTAACAGAACAACGAGAGTAAAATAATATTAATCCAGCACTATAATTCTAAAACAAGTGCGAAGATCAATTCTATCATCCCAGGAGCTAATATGCTCGTATTTATACTCGTAAACTAATGTGGCAGCTCAAGTTTTAAAAACGTTTCATGCTTGAGTAATTAAAGAGGTTAATGTTAGGAATAAGTATAATTTAATAGTATTCACTTCAACAAAATGTAACGTATTACTAGCTGTAGTAATATTCCATAGTAATGTAGCATTAAATGCTAATGTTTTCCAAATTCAAGCCATGTAACCAACGTATAGAATGATTAGAATATCTAGACATAACAAAGCTATTACTCGTATATTTTAATTTAATCAAATTAAACTAACGAAGAAAAAAAAATCATTTTTAATACTCCATATATAATCAGTTTAATTATTATTTATTATTCATTTGAAATACTTCTATTTTTTCCAACATGAACTCCAGCTCTCCTCCGGCAGAGCTATGGTATTGGGTTGTTGTGTATGGATATCCTCAAACACCGTGCAAAAATGGAGAAGTGCCGGAGAAAGAATAAAGAAAAACTTAAAGAAAGAGAAAAAAAGGAGAAAGAAACCTGTTACCGGTTGCTCACCTGCAAAATGGCTAATTTGACTATTTTTTAGCACTTCAAGGACTTGATTGATTCATTTTAAAGTACGAGGACTTAATTGACTTTTTGTTAAAAGTATAAGGACTTATTTGACAATTTTCCCTAATTATTGCTTACCAAAGATGTTAGGGAAAATGAGTTGTATGTATATCACTTAAGAGGTGTTGTACAAAGTAAGGAGTATAGTACTATAGTAGGCTAGTAGCGCATGAGGAGCAGTAGCCGTGTTGGAGGAGCAATAGCCGTACATGGTCTATTTGTGAAAGGAAGAGTTTAGTTAGACTATATTTGAAAAAACTTTTTTTTTACAGAATTCGGCTTTATTAATAATCAATAATTTTCAGAGTATGGGTCAAAAGACAGAAAGAAACTTAACAACCGTTATCCCTCGAACCAGACTCAGAATTAATCGTCGTAGTAATAAAATTTGCTGATCCATAATTGGGGAACAAACCGCCAGAAACGGTCACCCTATTCCTCTCAATCCCCATATCCAAAATCAACGTCTTACAAGCAGGAACAATGAAGAAAAAACAAATAACAAAACAGACATAAAAGTTACTGGAAAAACAAACGAGACAAATAAGATAAATCTTCTTTAAAACCCTAGATTTGCTGACACTCCATGGCGGCGGCTCTGGAGGGGGACGCGTCCGTCGCTCATCCACCATAACGTCAACATCAGCTTCATCTAGATCCAGTTCTTCTTCCTCTGCCCCATTCGCCATCCTCTTGTATTTGTCCACGAAGCTATCCATGCAAAGTTGTTGCTCTAACCTTCTGCCAGAAACTCTGAACCTGCTCATTGTCGAGATCGAACACCTCGGGCACAATTAAAGCAACCAACGAAAGCCTTGCTCGAATTAACCAAGACAGATCCCAAAACGATTAGGTCGATGACCCCAATCCCAAAGAAGAAACAAAAACACGATCTGCTGTGCCGAGATCAGCAACTAATAGACGAAAATCCAAACTCGCACCACGACTGATCGATCGTGGCCGGACAAACGCCCCTAGGCAAACCCTAGGAGGCGGCGCTCTAACTATGCCTAAAGTTAACTATATCACTTGACATATTTGATTTTTTTTGACTGAAATCGGCTTAGATAAATAACCAATAAAAGTTCAGAGTATGGGTCAACTGACAAAAAGAAAACTGATAACCGCCATCCCTCGAACCAGACTCGGAATTAATCGTCATAATAATATAATTCACTGATCCATAATCGGGATACAAAAAGCCTAACACAATTACCAAATTCATTTCATCTCCCACATCCAACATCAACGTCTTACAAACTGAAACAAAAACAAAGAAACACACACCAAAGCAAAAGTAACAATTGTTGGAAAAGTAAACAAAACAAACTAAATAACACCCCTGCCGCCGCCAGAGATCAACTCTTGGCGGTGGTTCTAGAGGGGGCCGTACCATCGGTACCACACCAATTGATTCTCCCCTGACGATCAAAATCTGGAATACACGAAGCCCATTCATTCCTCCGCGTCCCCCTCTTATAGCAAGACCGCAACTAATTGTTTTCTTCTCCACTGCCAGTCGTGTACAACTTTCATCTGCCTTCCTGCTTCGCCGTGTAAAATCCGTCAGCAAAATTGCCTCCCTGCGAAAACCCCCGCTCGACCCAAAAGACGAAGCGAAACAGACAAGCCAAAGAATTGACCCGCCGCTGCAGTCTTTGAAGCCCTTAGAGAACACCATCACCCACCGCCGATCCCGTTCCAACCTAAAGCAATGGTTGAAACGAAATCAGGACAACAAAAGCTACACTAGGCGGCGGCGATAAAGCCGAAACCTAGAGGGAAATCCGAACCCTCAAAGGCTCTTCACCTTTGGAATATGGAGTACTAACGAAGTGAATCAAAACCTGAACCAGAAGCTTTACAATCGCCGCTACATGGGAATCCCAGACCAGTCGATCAAAGCAAAATAACAATAAATTATCTTGGCCAATCTAGCCGGACCAAGAACACAGAACAAAAGTGTCCGAAAAAACAGAAAACTTGGACCAATCACCCAAAAAAGACTGACCGCAGGAGATTAACGCCAAGACTCCTCCTTAGTGCCTCCTCGTTCAGCAAACGCCGAGTACTTGCGCCACCATGGACATCGCGAGGCTAGGGTTCTACTTTGCACCCGTTTTATCAAAAAAGTTAGGTTGTGAATATATTTGAAAAAACTTTGAAAAGTGAAAAAAACTGATATTATTTCCCTTATTAGGCTTGTTCCGAAAGTTTCCTTGAATTTAAATATAATTCGGGTCGGGCTTAGGGCTCCAGCAAACCACTCCATCCTCTGAGTGCAATTAGATTCAAATATGGAGTTTAATTATCTAATTATGGAAGGACAGATTTACATTTTAAACCTGCATTACAATACGCATTTGACTAGTAAAACTCACAAAACCGCATTCTCCTCACTCTGTTCCCGGCACTCCACGACCACTCTCCATTCCAACAACAGTCCGAACGAGCATTCTCCCACACAGCCTGCGCCGCCGCCGTGCCCTGTGCCAAGTGGCGTGTCTTTGTCTTCTCCATCTTTCAAAACCCTAGCAACGCCAAACATTTTATCTGCGCCCATAGTGGCCAACAAGGTCAGAGATGCATCGATTTTGTTATGTATTGATGGCTGGGGTCTGGGGGGAGTTCTACATTTGTCATATGAGAAGTGTTTCGTTGCATGCATTCCTATTACTGGCATGTATGCGTATAGCCGTATACATGGTTAGTTTTTGTTTCCCCATTGCTGCTGTCAATGGTTAGGCTAGTGCCTAGTATCTTTTTCAAGCAAGCGTGGTGATGCCAAGTTGGATTATCACTTTATTCTGAATAACATGAAGTGGTTCGTTTCAACATTTCGTTTCTGTTCATTTCTTCTCCCTAGTAATGATTTTTCTACTCTATGAGCTCCATTTATCCATTTGTAGATTGGATTTTAAGGTTTACCTTCTGCCTTCCCTGATCATTGGGGGTTGAGGGTATATGCGGGAGGAATTGCATGTATATAAAAATAATCGAGTGTGTGCATTGTGAAAGCAGTTTTTCTTTGACTTACCATTTGTTTCTTAGTGTTTTTGCTCTCCTTTTATATTCAGATGGTAGAACATGCCAAACTGCCTAGTCTGTTGCATGCTTACACATTCGTGTATAATCTATGTATTATCCATCTTCACTTTCGAGTTACAAGAACACTGGATTATTCTGATGTAATGAGTAACTCTTATGCGGCACTGGGGTAAATGAAAATGAAAATGAATGAGTAACTCTTATCACATATACCGACTATATTGTTTTAAAAGAGGACATAGTGACATACTGAGTTAAGGCAGTTCTGAGAATGCTTGCAGCGCCCACCAAATTTAAAGCATTTCCCTCTTTTTTATTCTAGACACTGCAGTTGAATGAACATGCCATTTGCTTTAGTAACATATTACGTTATTTTGACTTGAGTTGTCTTTCAGTAGTCTCTCCCAAAATTCATTCTTAAATGATACTCATTTCCTGTAATAAAAAGTTCGAAACAAAGGTAGTTACATTTAAGTGTATCCAGCTACCCATTGTCATCATGCATGTGACTCTCTTCAAGTGAGATGCTTATGGACTTGCTCTCTTTAAACTATTTTAGGTGGCTTACCTGTGTCAAATATGGGAACAACTGATGATAGGGATGAAAGTGGTTGCTTATCTATGCTATCTTCCAAAAATGGTTCCTTGCTTGTGCCTGCTCCACCTACAGATATATGTCCCGATACAAAGCCGGAAAAGCTTGACCAACCTAAACGTTCTACTATGACAAGGACAGGGTTTGGGACTTCTGGGAGACAAATCAATTTACTTGCAAATCATTTTAGAGTTTCTGTGAAGTGCCCCTATGAAACTTTCTTCCAGTACAGTGTAAATAATAGACTTCACTTTTGTCCTATTGTGAGTCCTCATGTTGTTGCGAGAAACTTAAACCAAAATGTTATGCCAGGTTACTGTAAGTTATGAGGACAAGAGTGCTGTTAATGGAAGATGCATTGGGAGAAAAGTCATAGATAAACTTTATCAAGCATATTCTTCTGAATTTTCTGGGAAGAGGTTTGCATACGATGGAGAAAAATGCTTGTATACAGTCGGGCCCCTACCACAGAACAACATGAAGTATACTGTAGTCCTTGAAGAGGCTACTGCCAAACAGTAATTTCTTTCATTATGTCAATTACTTTTAATTTCTTTTGCATAAGAGTATATGTCTACATATTCCATGAGAACAAAATACTCTTATGTTGAAACACTTTAGGTTAACGCACCCCAGACTGGATCGTAAGTTCGTAACCAGTCCACTTTAAGACCACCATTCTTCTAACTTCTAAGATCTTTCATATGTTTAACAAGTCAGCTCTACCTCTTTATATTTACCTTTTTCACTAATTATGATCTTATATATGTGGGCCAGTAGATGCCTTGATGAGTCTGTCAAGAGGTCTAAGTGCTCTTTCCAACCAAAGACGTTCATAGTGGAGATCACCTATGCTGCTAAAATACCTTTGGACTCCCTATCTCACGCCCTTGAAGGAGCTGACCCAGAACCTGGTGAAGATGCAGTGAGGGTCCTTGACATTATACTCAGACAACGAGCAGCTAATAGGTAGCAATATATTTCTTCATATCATGTGTAATATTTGTTACAGCTAAGACATATACAGACTTCAATGCTTCCTACAGAGGTTGCCTCTTGGTTGGTCAGTCATTCTTCAGTGACGACTCGAGACTCTTTTCTGAAATTGGAGGGGGTGTAACTGGCTGTCGAGGTTTCCATTCTAGCTTTCGTCCAACGCATGGTGGCTTAACCCTCAATATGGGTATCCCCTGAAACAACGTAGCATATGCATATCATTGTTGTAACTGCTGCTTTATTCAGGATTTAACTGCTTCTTTATTCCTTATTGCAGATGTATCTAACACCGTGATCCTAACTCCTGGACCTGTTATTGACTTTTTGCTTGCAAACCAGGGAATAAAAGAACGACATTATATTGACATTGACTGGGCAAGAGTAAGCGGTGGTGGATTTTAAACCCCCCAAGATTTTTCTACATGCTGATTATAATTAACTTCTACAGGCAAAGAAAACTCTAAAAAATATGAGGGTCAAAGCTCGGCATAGCAACATGGAATATAAAATCACAGGGTTAAGTGAGCTACCTTGCCATAAGCAAGTGTAAGTTCACTTTATCTTGCAGTATGTTTACTTTATGCTATCATCAAATGGATAAATCATGTTTTTGATGAGTGCCTTTTGCCTGTTAAAGCTTTTCAATGAAAAAGAAAAATGAAGGTGGTTCACATGATGATGGGGAGGTGATGGAGATTTCTGTATATGATTACTTTACTAAGCTCCTCAGCGTAGAAGTCACATTTTCTGCATTCATGCCATGTGTTGATGTTGGAAAGCCAAAAAAGCCTATTTATCTGCCAATGGAGGTTTGCAGAGATCATTTTCATTATATTTTTTTTATTTCCTGTGTATACTTGATTGCTTACAGAATGCCATAAATGTCCTGAAACTTCTCTCTTTCCTGACATAAAGCTATGCTCTTTGGTATCTCTTCAAAGATACAAAACGGCATTATCATTCACGCAACGAGCGTCTTTAGTTGAAAGTTCAAGGCAGAAGCCTTCAGCAAGAATTCAAGTTGTCGTTGATGTGAGTTATAGCAATCTTTATTTGTCATTCAGTTTCTTGGACTTTCTTGGTTTATACTTTACTAAACTTGCAGTCCATGAGAAGCTATTGCTATGATGATGATCCAGTTCTTGCTGCTTGTGGAATTTCAATTGAAAAACAACTCATGCCAGTTGAAGGCAGGATCTTGGATGCACCAAAGGTAGTTTTTTTGTTTCCTTGTATATTTTGTCACTTTAAAATGATTTACCTCTTTCAGTTCCTTCGTTGAACAAAAATTAAATTGATTAAATTTTAATTGATTGGACAAGTCTTTCATTAGAATTTGAGTCTTTATTTTGTATATTCCAATTAGAATTCGTGATTTCTGTCCCATTTGATTTTTTTTTCTTTTTTTGTTAGGTTAGAGGCAGGGTAAAAAAAGTGAAATTGAAAAACTGGGTTGCACTAAATACACAAGAGTATACAATATTGATGCATTTGAAAAATTACTCAAATGCAATGAGTTAAAAATTAAAAAATCTGATTTGACTTTGATATATTCCCTTACAATGTGCAGTTAAAGATTGGTAATGGTGAAGATTGCTTTCCTCGTAATGGCAGGTGGAACTTCAATAATAAGGTATCCCTTTTCTTTGTTTTTGGGGAGAGTTATCAAATATGGCCACACATTTGTATGAAAGGTGTCAAGTGCCAAATTGATTCTTTTGTATAAATATTTTCATTTATAGCAATTTTTGACACCTTCTCGGGTTGAGCGCTGGTCAGTTGTCAACTTTTCTGCACGGTGTGATACAAGTCATCTTTCAAGGGAGCTGATTAGCTGTGCAAGGAACAAAGGCATTGTATGTACTTCGTATTCTAGTTCATTTTGTGGATTTCTACAATATATCTGATGTTTGTTTGATGTGGTTGGGCATGGCAGCATATGGAGAGGCCACACACACTTGTTGAAGAAGATCCTCAGTATCGACGGTCTGGTCCTATAGTTCGAGTTGAAAAGATGTTTGAGTTGATAATGTCCAAGATTCCAGGCCCCCCTCAACTTCTTCTATGTGTCTTGCCAGAGCGCAAAAATTCAAATTTGTATGGTAATACTCTATTTCTGCACTTGCTTTTCTCCTTGAGAAATGTAAAATCACAAAAGATTTCCTCTGATCATATGTCTAGGACCTTGGAAGAAAAAATGTTTGGTCGACTTTGGGATAGTTACACAATGTGTATCACCGACAAAGATTACTGATAATTACCTTACTAATGTTCTTCTCAAAATCAATGCTAAGGTATTTCTTAATCAACTATTATAATTTCAACAACTCTGTAACTCGATATAAACTGAAACTTCACCTTTTTTGTCATCTTTATTATTAGTAACATCTTTTTCGGGTTTTAATTGTATTAAAGCTTGGAGGGAGCAATTCAATGTTGGCAATAGAGAAAATACCTGGTACACCTATAAATAAGGACACTCCGACAATGATTTTGGGCATTGATGTGTCTCACGGATCTCCCGGACAATCTGATTCTCCATCCATTGCTGCGGTTGTTCCTCCTTATCTTATCTTTTTAGGAATAAAAGAAACAGATAATATGTTACCGATTAGATTAGTCTCTCACTAATCCTCGTGTGTTTCTGTTTGTCAGGTGGTTGGATCTCGACATTGGCCATTGATATCAAAGTACCGAGCTGCTGTTCGAACTCAATCTTCCAGGGTGGAAATGGTTGAAACTTTATATAAGCCTTTAGCAGATGGCGAGGATGATGGTATCATGCGGTACTAGAAATTAGGATCATCTCGATTTTCATCAGTACATAAACTTACTTATCAAGATATGAATTGCATTTTTTCTTTCTGAAATTCATATGAATTGTGCTACAGAGAGCTGCTTGTGGACTTCTATCAAACCAGCAATGGGTGTAAACCAGCTCACATTATTGTTTTTAGGTATTCCATTTTATGATTGTGTCTGGCCTGGCTGCTTATGAAATGAAATTCATAGCACTGCTTATCCATGTCAATGTTTCCTTTTTTATTATTACACTCATAGTCTTTAATTTAGAATTCATCTTCAATTTTTTTATGGAACTCCACATTGAAACGTGGTATTTTCTTCTCATTCCCATCCAATGGAGTTATTGTCTGTTGAACCCATCATTCTACAATGCATTTGTCTGCAGACTATTATTATAATGACATGGCACCAAACTCTTTGTCAGGGATGGTGTAAGTGAATCACAATTTAGCCAAGTTTTAAATATCGAGGTGGATCAGATGATCAAGGTAATTCGTTTGTCTGTTCAATGGTATCACACACTCTGGAAACATTGTAAATAACTTCACATTTGATCATCCATTTCTTTGGTTAGATTACTTTTTCTCTCCTAAACAAGCAAAGACAACCATTGCCCATTGGGGTCTTGCCAGAACTCAGGAAATACTCTAGGAAAAGAAAACAGGGAGGAAAGTGATGATATTTTGGAAGAAATTGCGAGGAAAAATATAACAATTGTTCAAACTTCAAAATCAGTATTCTTTTTATTAGTTTAAAGTTTTAAACTCATTTTGTTATTTGTTTCTATTACATTCTAAGAAATCTAAACATTCATCATCATCATCATCATCACCCCAGCACCACAAAGGCTCCCACCTACGGTGGGGTAGGGGAGGTCGGATGTACGCAGTCTTACTCCTTCACTAAAGCACAGACAGACTGTTTCCGGATGACCCCGAGTGAAAATCGCGTCGAAATTGCATGAACTGACTGCTGCTTCATAACAATTAAGCGCAGACAGTTTAGTGAGTCATTTTGCTTTATTCCATCACATTTCCATGCCAAAAAATAGTGAGTCTTTGGCTCCATTGCAAATGATGGAAAGTAAGAAATCCACACATTAGTTTTAAAAATTCAAAACATTTAGCACATCTCATTTTCCTTTACATTTTCCATGGTAAAACCAAACACTAGAATTGACTTTCCAGATCGTTCCCCCTTTCCTTAGCATTTTCTGGGATCCAACATACCTTTAGTTTCAACACTTATAGTATGTGCACCTAACCACCTACTGTGAATGCAAGCTATTGCTCTGTTAGACTCTGCCACATGGTGCTTCACAGATTCCTAGTATCATCTTATTATAACACAACTTTTATTTATGGACAATGCCAAACCTTTTTCACCTATAGGCCTACAAGCATCTTGGTGAGGTCGATGTTCCCAAATTTACAGTAATTGTGGCTCAGAAGAATCACCACACAAGGCTATTCCAAGCTGGTGCCCCTGAAAATGTTCCACCAGGTCAGTCTTTCTTAGTATTATGCTATTATCAATTTATTACTGCTTTTAATGAAGTAATTGGTAATGCATCCTAGACCATAGACTTTTACTTGTGTGCTAAGGTTAGATCTCTCTCTTATCAGGCATCGTTGTGGACACAAAAATAGTGCATCCTAGATGCTATGACTTTTACATGTGTGCTCACACTGTGATGATGGTAAGTTTGTGGAATCGCCTATATAATGGGGTTTGTGTTGAATCTTGTGTATTGCCGCGTTGGTGTTCATTTTACTGAATTCATTAAGGAATGCTATAACTGTAATTGTATGACAATATGTCTCTGTTTGAGATCTAATCACTGAGGCTCCTTTGGTTCAAGGAAATCAACTTGTTGTGGGATTTCTTTTAGTAACTGAGGCCTCGTTCAGTAGAGTTTTCTTTTCTGTTTCTTTTTTCTAAAAGTAACAGAACTCCGAAAACCAGAAAAAGTCATTTTCAGTTTTCAAAATCAACATATACGTGCTGTTTATTGTTTGGTCTATAAATGGTATACTTCGTATCATTTATCTCTCAAAACCAAAAATAAAAACTGAAAGCCTACAGCGATACTGAATGAGCCCTAAGTTGCTCTAGCCTCTAGTATATACAAAGTATGTAACATAGCATTTGAATAATTAAAACAGACAACATGGTTTTTTAGGAAACTGATCTCCCATTTTAAAACATGGTCAAGATGCGATATCATTTTTCGCCCTAGAAAAATGAAGAAAAAAACATTTTTTTTCCTTTTTCTTCTTTCCTTGAAACATTTTCTGTGTCACCATTTTCCTTGACACATACTACCTCCGTCCCATTTTATGTGTCTTAGTTTGACTTGGCACGGTTATTAATGAAGTGGTTGAAAAAGTAAAAGTTGTGGTTGAGGTTTGAGTATAATAAAGTGAAATGGTGTAGACCACATATTTCTTTCCGAAAGAGGAAAGTAGACACTTATTTTGGGACAGACCAAAAAGGAAAATAGGGCAGGTAAAATGGGACGGAGGGAGTACTGAGTTTAAATGGGATTAATCAGTAATAGAGCTTAAGTGTTAACAAGAGTGTCTGGCTGAAAATATCTCTCAAACAGGGGACTGCTCGACCTGCACATTACCATGTCTTGTGTGATGAGATTGGCTTCTCTCCTGATGACTTGCAAAACCTAATTCATTCTCTATGTTATGTGTAAGTTGCTTTCTCCCCCCACACCCCACACACCTCAAGTAAACATTTTCTTACCTCCCAACATGTGCCGCACTCTACTCATACAATTATCTACTTCAACATTCTCAGGCATCAAAGAAGCACTACAGCCACCTCAATAGGTACATTATTTTTTTTCATGGATGAACATCTAGCCATTTATTTAACCAGGAAAAGAAAAGAGTCCGACTGCTTTATATCTGATTTGCTTTCTTAATGCAGTGGCACCTATTTATTATGCTCACCTAGCTGCACGTCAAGTGGGACAGTTCATCAACTTCGATGAAACTTCTTCTTTAAGCATCACATCGGTTCCTGAGTTGCCCATGTTGCACGAGGAGGTCGAGGACTCCATGTTCTTCTGCTGAATGGCTTCAACATTGTTTTTGATAACTGGGTCCATTTTTAGCAAGTGTAGTTTTATAGGGAAAGTAGTTTTGACTTGTAACCCTAAAAATAGCTAAGAATATAAATACACAATGCATTCATAACAGTTTTGTTTGTACATCAGAATGCATGGTGTTATACTGTTATGTAGATACAAATCTTGTTCAATGCAAGATAAAATCCATTCTTGCCAACACAGTGCATTTTTACTTTCACGATTTTTGGATAACAGTTAGATGATTTATGAGTGTAAGAGACATTAAATGTAGATGATGAGGATGAAAACATTGATTTCTAGGTTGTCATGAAAATTTTCTGATTATCACTGCTTAGGGATGGACTGGGACGGGTCAGCCTGACCTGGAGCCTGTCCCGGTACTATGTAGGCCCGACCCGGCCTGTCGGGGCGGTACTAGGACTGGGGGCCCGAACCAGGTATCTGGGGGGCGGGCTACGGGACTTCAAAATGGTTGACCGGTCTGGGCCTCAACAGTTACTTTAATTTTTTGTTTGTTTGAAAAGCTATCTGCCTTGTGGCTGTTGCCAAACGGCTCTGGAGCCGTTGGAGGGGGTCTGGGGACTGGGGGGTTGGGGGTGGTAAAAAAATCTATAAATATTCCTATTTTCTAAACATTTTCCTACATCTATTCTCCAATTCTTCCTACTCCAATACTCTCTAATCACCTCCATCTTCATCTTCTCTAATTCTCTATACACCCATTAATATACTCCCTCCGTCCCGCTATTAACTTTCTGCTTTCCTTTTTGGGACCTCCCAAAATCATCTTCTCATTTTCCTAAATGGAAAGTTATCATACATCAAAACAATGTCAAAACAGTGCCAAACAGTGTAATCTACAGTAAAGTCAAATTTATTTTCTAAATATGTGTGAGGGTCAAAGTAAGAAGTTAATAATGGGACGGAGGGAGTATAATCGTATCTATTTAAATTAGTTATACAATTATTATATCTACTTATATACTCCCTCTGTCCCGTAAAGAAGTTCCCGTTCGGTTTGTGATGCTTGACTAACGATAAAGCAACTTTATTCCTGTTCACACTCGGATTATTTTTAGTAAATAAAATTTACATATTCAGAAACTACACTAAAACCGCTACAAAGCCTGATCAAGAAAAATTAAATTTAATTAAAATTTGATATATAAAGTAAAAATTTAGGAGTGATGTAAGTTGACCAATGAATAGTGAACAAGAACTTCATTTCGGGACATAGGTAGTATTTATTATTTGCTTATAAATACATACGTAGTATATTATATCTCCTCAGAATGCAGTATGGTATGTAACATATGTTTCTTTCTTCTAATTTTAACAAGGAAATGTAAATAATGACTATTGCAACCCCCTCCTTCAGCCAATTAATATTTGAGTAGTTTTCCAAAATTTATTTAGTCGGCAACAAAGCCTGTATGATTCTAAATACATAAATTTATATGTATTTTAATAATGTATTTACAAATCAAAGTAGTCTCCTAATTACCCATTAGCTAAGTGGGGTTTAGATTTCTTCTTACTTTACCGAATACCGAACACAAGTTGCTAGGTCATCAGCATATATTGCTTTCTTCGGATCTACCCTGGTATCTGGAACTGTTTTTTTCACTTTATGGTAGGGGTGGGTTCGGTTCTTTTGGTTCGGTTTTGTCCTAAAACCAAATACGGAACCAAAGTAAAAGTTCGGTTCGGTTTTACACTCCAAAACTTGGAACCACGGTTTGATCGGTTTGGTTTTTTCGGTTTTTTACTAAAAAACTTGTCATTTGATTTAAAATTGATATAAAAGTTAGAGAGATCAAACATATTACATAAAAATGCAGGCATACTTGAACAAATAAAGAAAATAATAATAAACAAATACTTCGTATGTCTTGAATTATATGAGTATGCGGGAGAAATAAAAGTGTATATATATTCTTAATTTACATTATTTGTGGCTAGTTTAAAAAACGTTAATGAATACATACGTCCTATGTGATATAGTTGAGATGAATATTTATTTTTTATCAATTTAAAAAAGGTAAGTTACAAAAAATTAGGTTACATAAAAATAAAAGTTAATTACTACTAATAACTAGTACAAACATATAATCATGCAATAAATTGCAACATACATCCACAGAAGACATAATAGATCAATATAACTACATTATTATAGGCAATGAATGTGTAAATTCATTTGAGAACTAAACTAAACTAAACATAGCACAAACATTATTTCTCTAGCACAAAAAATTCAAAGATATTGATGATATTGATGTGAGTTTTCTCGCACTTAAAATAGATCGTAATATAGTGGTGTAAGTACGAGTATCGTCTCCACAGGGACGGACAAAAGGGAATCAAGAATTAATTAAATTCAGCGATTAAAAAGAAAATAAAATAAAAGCGTCGTGCGAGAATTGGTTGGTTTGGAAAATAAAACTAATGCGAACAATTAAACTAGAGAATTCTTTCTAATTAATGACGAAGGGAACATGGATCGATTCCGGGGTAACCAGATTTCTGGCAGATCAGACATAATTACATGAAATTAATTTAATTGAGCCTAGCTAATCATTACTAAGTTCTTACCGCTCTCGCGGCGTAGAGTACAATAATTTAGGGGACCAGGCTGATCTCTCATGCGACAGGATCCTAAATTTTTGCCAAGACGAGCGAGCTTACGACTCCTTAATCACTACTAATCTCTTAGCGAACGATTAAGTGTGTGTGAATGTGTCATAGAACAAATTAGATCTCTCTTAATTTATTCTACATGCAATTGTAATTCTAGTCGCGATTCTAGGTTACAAAAGATATCAATTAAATTATTCAAACACAAATTAAACGGCATTCATGCAATTAATCCATCAAGAAACTAGCCATACATAATGATCAACCCCTTCATCAATCCCAATCCCTAATTAAACTACTCACAATTCATAATTGAAGAATCAATAGAATTGAGAAGAATAGAATTAATTGTCATTAATTAAAAAGGTGGAACTTACAAAGAATACCAAAAGATTGATGAACAAGGGTGAAAAGCCCTCTAAATTTCCTGCTAGGCACTCTCTCTAAGCTCCCCCTTGAAAACGGGGGTTTACAGGCTGTTTAAATAGAAAAATCGGGTGAAATTTGAGCTGAATTAGGATTTTCGGAGCCAGACACGATGCCAGGCACGATCGTGCCTTCGATCGTGCCTCCGGAGCAAAAACGCGCATTTTGGGCAGGCACGATCGTGCCTGGCAGGCAGTAACTTCGCGGTGCTTTTCTCTTCAGGCACGATCGTGTCTGACTTTGAGGGCACGATCGTGCCTACTTAACTTCCGAATTTGACAAAACTTCCTTCATGAAAGTTGTAGATAATGAAGTCCTCTATCCACCAAAATTTGCCGAATGTGATTTGAATCATCCAATCAAGAGATATCATCAAAACGGTGGAAGGTGTCTTTCTGAAATCGCAGCAGAGATCATCTGACTTCATCGTCTGTTTTCACCTTCTTCCTCTCAGATTCTCGCAAAGGTGTCTTCATATGATTTGTAGCCCTTGAAGTTGGCTTTCCTATGCAACTTGAATTGTGTCCATTGGTTGTTCCTACAAAGAGATAAGCTTGAACGATTGACAGAAGGTCATTCTGATCGTCGTTTTCAAGCTTCATTCATCTTCTTTTGATCCCGAAGCCAATCCTAGAGCTCTTTTTCCTTCAAATCTTCATCGTGAATCTTCCGGTGACCTCCAAAGCTATCAAATCATTCTCAAATGCTTCTCAAATCATCCCGATTGTTCCTCAAGTGCCGGTACCGGACTCAAATTCCCTGATTTTGACTACAAACAACCTAAAACTCGAACCAACGCGCGTTAAACATAACTTGAGCTAAAATTGAGACTTGTAACACCTTAAAACTAGGAAAATCATCAAAAGCCGATCTCAACCCACATCAAATACGTGTCAAAATACGGACTTATCAGATATCAAGATTAATGCTTACATTTAACAAATAAAATTTCATATTTTATTTTAGTTCGGTTTGTTCGGTTCGGTTTTGAAGGGTAAACACCAAAACCAAACCAAACTACTACGGTTTGGTTCGGTTTGTTTTTTTTACAATCGGTTTCGGTTTTTTAGCGGTTCGGTTTATTTGGTCGCGGTTCGGTTTAATTTGATCCGGTTTTCGATTTTTCGGACCGAGCCCTACTTTATGGTATCTAAACTAAATTGGAATCCTTATTGTGATGAGCAAATTTTGTTTACAAAAAAGTTAGCATCCTAAAATATCAAGATCCATATGTTCTTATTTCAGAACTTTAATATGTTTAAAAAAATGGATTGATTAGTTTGATAAATTATATGGTGCACCCGGATGTATCATGTGCATGGTATATCCAATTTTTTTGATAAATAATAACAACTTTGAGGATAATAAATAAGATGAGTTGTTTCCTTTTTCCACCGCATGCAGTACTCCGCTATTTTTGACTTCGTTTGGATGCTGGCGTTTCATTACAATCCGCCAAAAAATTATAACTAGAAACACTGCTTGACTTAGCATTTTGGCCCCCAACCCGCCAATAAACAAACAGGGCCTTTGTCCTGCGCTGATTGTTGCTTGCTCGTACGTTCTCCTTTTTTTTGTTTATTCTCCTTTCTTTTACTGTTTTTTTATTGTTTGTTCTCCTTTTTTCTTTTTTTTAGCAACCTTTCATTCGAGTTTATTTTTTTCTTTCTCCAATCAAACTTCCAACTTAAGTTTTTTATTTATGTATTATAAAATATTGGGAAAATGGAAACTAATAATCCAATCTTTTAGCGGTCTTCTTTCAATAATCCCACATTTTGATTATTCATGAATAATCCAACCTTTGCACCTCATCTTCATTCACTGGTTCGGGATCGGTTAATGACTTACTATTCCAAGTTATTTTCTTATCTTTGCAAAATATTATCTTTGTGAAAGATGGGATTTATGGTATAATGATTTGCAAAGATAAGAAAATAGCTTGGAATAGCAGGTCATCAACCAGTCAGGGACCAATGAATGAAGATGAGATGCAAAAGTTGGATTATTCATGAATAACCAAAAGGTTGGATTATTGTAAGAAGACCGCTAAAAGGTTGAATTGGATTATTAGTTTCCATTTTCCCTAAAATATTTTAGGTATTAATGTTTTATTTTTCTATTTTTAATTTAAGATGAATATTTATTAGTTTATTAAATATTGTGTGGTAATTACTAAGTATTATACTAAAATGAGTATAGTGAAATA